CTCGAGCGGATGAGCCACGTGGAAAACGCGGATAAGCCGGCTCAAGCGACGAAAACGAGTGACCTACAAACCCAGTGAGTCGCACAGTCTCTCGAATCGCTTCTCCACGACTGCAACCGACACGGAAAAGTCGTCGTCCGACACGGTAAGAGTCGTCCTTCGACACGGGGCGTGAGGCGCCCCACTTCAGGCATTTCAAGTATTACCGATACGGCGAGGCTTCCGACTTCTTCGAGTACTTCCGATACGGAGTATCGCGTCGTTCCAAGTATCGCGTCGTTCCAAGTATCGCGTCTCTGAATTGGCCTCGTGAGTGTCGCAGTTTTAAAGCGACCGGGGCATTACGCCTGGAAGCCCTCACGATTCGAGCATTACGTCTTGGAAAACTTAAAGATCCAGTAAGATGCATGCCAGGATTGCAACATTCAACATCTGTAATATCTCCCGGAAAAACCAAATCTCGTTCGAGGAAAAGAAGTTCCGTTCCCTTTTCTGAATTATACACGACCATAAATAATTCTGGTCCCATCGAACCGGAGGGAGAATCGGACTCCCAATAAAAAAGTAAACTCACAGCGTGACTCATTACTTACGATCCTATTGCCTTTTTTCCATTTATGCCAGGGCAACAACGTGGATTTTTTCTAAACCGAGAAATAATTAAATAGCAATAGCAATTATACAGAATAAAAAATAAATAGATAAATAAATCCACGCTCCCGTGGTAAAAAAAAAAGAAGCTTGAAAAAGATCTTAAGCTCTCAATTAGTAGCAGGAAACTCGACTCGTAATGGAGAGCGGAAGGAAAAAGAATCAAAGAAATCGGCTCGAGGCGATCCAGGTGGACAAGACAGGAAAAAGAAGAAGAAAAAAAACACAGATATATATTTTTCCCGTACCACTGAACCGGAGTTCCGTCCGCCTCTCTCCATCTTCCCTTCACGGCTCCCGGGCTGCAACACATAAAACATCCCCCGCAACTTTTTAATTAAATATGCCGCCAGAGAAGTGGGTCATCATCGCGATTCACGGTAGGTGAAAGGACATTTCCACGGACTTTTTCTTAAAGGTCATCAGTAAAAAAAAAAAATTTGGAGGCATGCAAAGGGCGTTTTTTAAGTTCGGTCAACAGCAGCATGGAGCGGTTAAGCGGCTTAACTTTCCCGAGCAGCAACTTGACTTGAAATACGATGAAATCCTGCAAAATCGAAGGGATCTGGGCTAAATCAATCGGTCGGTGCTAATTACACCGTACGCGAAATATATTTTGAAAATCCACGCTAAGCAGTATTATTATTAAGCAATGAACATTAAGCGAATCGTGGGTCACCGGTGACCCATTTCACGCCAGTGCATACTGGGCCACCGGCGACCCATGAGGGGGAATTCGCGAATTCCCCAAGAGAAAAAATTCCAGGCCTTCTGTAATGAGCCCGCCGTGTGGGTCACGCGTGACCCACACCCCACAGGGGGTCGGACCATCGCGCCCCCCTCGATTACAGGTTGAAAATGTGGAAATTCCAACAATCCACGCGTCTATCGCCAGCCTGAACGTCCCCAAATTTATCGTTATTCATGCATATAAATGCGAAAATGATATACAGGATTCCCCATTACTCCCCCGGTCGCAAGGCAATGCATTACTCCCCCCGTCGCAAGGCATTGCATTCCTTCGACTGCTTGTAATTAATTCACACTAATTGGTATACATTTTCATACTGGAACCATCACTTCACTACCTGCTCTGGGCCTTGCAGCACTTGCGTTGCTGGTCACCCATTTCAAATTACAACTTCTGCGGGCACTAAACTGGGTAACTTTATACTTATTTGAAAGGAACCTTGTATATTTATCATATCGATATACTTCTCTGAGGCATTTGTGCGGCTCATAATTGCAAATTCTCTAAAGTTTCAATGCGAGTAACAAAGTCATTCATTCATTCAAAGGAAACTAAATTCACTTCAAATAAAAAGAAATGTTTTCCTCGACTTCCGTTTTTCCCATGTTTTCGATTTCCAAACCGTAACAGAAATTTTAAGCGAATCAGCCCGATCCGCATCTTCACCCCAGCATACCCAATAAACCGAGTCCGTGAGGCGTGAAACACGCGCGAAACAATTTTCCAACTTTCACCCTCCTCAACGCCCTTTCTATTTTATTATCGCGGCGCGAACCCGCCAAGTACGTCTGTACTCCACGACCTGTGATGCAACATCTTCACCGGACCGATTCGGATCCGCATGAGAACCCAAGCCAGCGAACCATCGGCAGCGCTTCACGGAGCAGTCGACGCGGGTGACGTCAGCGCCTACCCGAGCAGACGCCGCGGGTGACGTCAGTGCCCGCCCGAGCAGACGACGCCTTGCGTGATCCCCTCCTAATCCTCCATTCGCAGATGATCCGCTCGCCCCGCGCAATTCAAGCCGATATTCGCATGCGAATTCCAAAGATTAGCGAGAAATTCATGAAAATTAAAGAGAAAAAGGGCAAGGGCAATAAAGCAAGGTCAACGCCCCCCCGTGCAACGAAAAATATCCCCCTCGTCTCACCTTCGAAAAGGCAACCGACTGAAACCCACGAAGAACGCACTCAACAGCGATCAAACCTGCACCGAAACGCGGGAAAACAACATCAACTCAAACGAAAGTCTCTCCCCATGAACTGAAGGCGGCCATCTTAAAAGACGGGAGAGAGAGAGAGAGAGAGAGAGAAAGGAGCGAGGATCGATGCAGGAGAGGCTCGACGGCGACCCGGTTCCGAACGTTCGATTCCGAACGCGGTGGCTCCTCTCGCGCGTCACGCGAACGCTCCGAGTTACCCGAAATGCGTCCGTTCGTCCGTTAATCGATACGGAATCTGGCCAACAGCTGTGTACACGATTTCCCGCGTCGTTTCCAATGTTAGCGATCGAGTGCGGAGAATGCACGGCGATCGGGCTCACTCGGCACCTCGGCGCCACAATGACCCAACCGCAAACGAGCGGATCCGCGAACACAGCGGCAGACCGCGTAGAACAGATGGAAACAGGACTCTCGGCACTGGGCGAATGAAGCAAGAAGGGGAATATAAAAAAGGAAGCGCGCGTGAGAGCGCGGGGAAAAGTCTTTCCTGTTTTCACGCACAGCCCGTGATGACGTCACATATCGCGACGGATCCCAAGGCCTTCCTCCCCCAACAGGGTGTTGCGTAAGACCCAACGAGCGAACGCGGAATCCTTATCACAAAACCCACTTTAAAAAAAAAAGAGAGAAACCAGATCATGCATCACCCTGTGGCTGTGCCCGGTCTATCTCAGTCACGTTCCTTTATCTCTCCTGACCCGGATAAAACTTGAAATCCTCCTTAAACGAGAAAATTCTGAGCGAATCCCGCCCGTAATCGAATGCGACGCCAGGCGAGCGAGAAGCCAGAGCGAGGGAGCGCGGATGATTCATCACGAACGGATTTTGACATCGAAATCGATGCCGATCAATCTTATTTTTCCCACTGCCATCTGCCGGACCCATTCGACAACCGCGCGCAAAATCCTCCCCGAATGAATTGGAGATCCGATTGGCTCCCGCGACCGACCGCACGAGGTCACGTGACCCTCTTCCCCCCTCGGGGATGACCAATCGCCTCCTCCCTGTGACGTCACTCCTGCTTCGGAGCCAGGCAGCTGCTCCCGGAGACATAATACGTCTCCACTCGGCATTTCGCGATTTTTCAAAGCAGCGACAGGTGTTCTCCCGGGGAACGTGGGAAAGTAACCTTTTCCTCGGAAGGGAGAAGCGGAAAAAAAATTGGGAGGTATATATATAACAAAGACCTGGAAATCAGGCCTCGGGGGGCCCCACTTGGGCCATCCTTTATTTCCAGTCTTGTTTACGTGTAGGCACCTCTGGGGCCTCGGGGGCCCATGCACAAAATGTTCTTTCTTTCACTTTTTTTCCCTTCTCTCTCCCCCTTTGCGGATCGGGGGTTGCGTCAATTTTTTTCAACATGATTTATGGGGTCCTTGGGTCAACGACATCGAAACGACACAAACACAACGCCTAACGGGAGAAATTTGAGCCTCAAAACCCGATTTCGAAGTTCGACGACCGACCGAGTTCCGTCGGAAAAAAAAAAAAAAAAGAGTACAGGCCCAACCCCAGGGAAACTCGCAAAAAATAGTCGTTTACTGCGAGGGAGGGTGGAAAGTTGGCAGCGAAGAGGAGCTTTTGGCACGCGTGCCAAATGACGATGCCAAACGACAGCATCTGCCCCCCCCCCCCCCCCCCCGAAACGGCGTAAAGGGAGCCCTGTATGAGTCTGCATGTCGTTTGTATGAGGCTGCATGTCGTTATGTCCCTATCAGACGAGGCTCTGCATAGCCCCCGAACGAAACGCTATTGCCCCCCCCCCCCACCCCCCCCCCCCCCCCCCCCCCAAAAAAAAAAAACGACACCAATAAGTTCCTCCACATTTAAATATTAAAAAAAGGCGGTAAAAAAAATATCGCGAGTCGACACCACAATCGTGAAGAAACACAGAAGAAAGCAGTCGAATGACTGATGAACGGAGACCCCAAGACGACGCGAGAGTGAGATAGTCCCTCATTGACATGTGACAGGAAACGGGGCCCACGAGACGAAGGAGAAAAAACGGGGGTTCCCCCTTCCCCCTTGCCTCCCCCCCCTTTGCCCCCCACGATAGAGAGAAGCCAGACAAGAGCATCAAGGGGGAAAAAAAGGAGGGCGAGAGAAAGGAGAAAAAAAAGACTGCCGGCTGGATCTGCTTCCCATTACACGACGACGAGACAATCATCCCTCCCTGACGTCACACATTACACGTCACACATTACACGATTCCCCTCCCACCCTTTCCTTTTTATTGAGATTGGGGTCTGTCTGTCAAGTTCACGGTCTTCCCCCTTCCCTCCCTCGTGACGCAAAGGACACCTCTGTGGACCGCCACGCGCCGCCACACGCCGCCGTGGACCGAACAAACGAAACCGCGTCCAGGTTATTGCGTTCTCATCTGGACCGCAAATTCGCGACTTTTGCAATTCTCAATAGGGTGGGTCGGATCCGGATCCGGAAACGGTCTTGCTATTTCCAGGAAAAAATGAATCTTAAAACTGAAAAATGTTTAATGTAAAATAATTTTTAGAATTAATAAAAAGGTTTTTGACATACCTTCTTTTCTGTGAGTTTCTCGCAGCGCCGCATCTTGCAGATCTGGTGACTCTTGGCGTTGCGACAGGGGGCGCAGTCGCCGCAGTTGTCCTTCCGCTGGCACCCGATGCACTCGCCGCACCGCTTCCGCTTCTTCTTGACCGGCTTGCCCTCGGCGTCGTCGCCGCCGCGGAGGCCGGGGTGGTGGGCGGCGGTGCTGCTCACGGCGGGGACCTGGGAGACGCTCTCGCAGAGGTCGTTGGGGTCGAGGCCGCCGACGATCATGTGCTCGAGGTGGGCCGCCACGCTCTTTGGGTTTCGTTTCTGACGCTTGCGTGGCGGGGGCGGGGGCGGTGGGGGGTGGGGTTGAAGGTGGGGCACGAGCTCCATCGGTGGGTGGTGGAGGGGTGGGGGGTGGTGCTGGTGCACCACTTCCAGCTCGGTTTTCATCACCGTGCTGGACACCCGTTGCGTTTGCATCCCGTCGAAAGCGTATTGAGTCTGACCCGGCGGGAACAGGTGGATCTGCCGCTCGTCCAGGAACTGCTGCTGGATCTGCGGGATCTCCCGCGCCTGGATCGGGGCGGCCACCATCGGGTAGCTCTGCTGAAACGGAGACGACACCTCCGTCCGGGACGGCGGCGGCGAGAACTGGAACTGCGTCTGGAACGACGGCAGCTTCAGCGCCAGCGTGGAGGGCGCCTCTAACGTCACGAACGTCCCGTCGCCCCCGGTGTCCCACGGCTTGTGCTCCGAGTCCGGCGAGACCTTGCTCTCCCACGGCCGGTAGGCGGAGTTGGTGGAGTCCACCAGGTTTGTACTCGACGGCGGGGGGCTGCTGTTGGTGGAGGAGGTGGGGGTCGTGATCGACTGCTGCTGGGCCGACGGCCCGTCATGCACCAGCCGCGCCGACAGACCCTCCGAGTAAAGATCCGAGAAAGGGAAGTTGAGATCCAACACGAAACGACCTGTCCGTAGCAAACCGAGACTCGTCAGGGATTCATGCCATAAATTTCGCTTAATTGCTAACTTCAACTATTTATAGTAATTTTTAGCGATTTAGCCACTTGGTAATTCTGGACATTAAGCCATTTCGCATTAATTTTTAAACGATCTCAGTGACCTACGAACAACTTTTTCTCTACTAATTACTCCAAAGTAACCAATTACTTTAGACTGCGTCGACGAAAAATAGGCCTCGGAATGATGTAACACATTTCCTCCCTTCAATTGCAAATAAGCATGAACTTCACTGAATCTTCCTTATAGCCTAGGAACCTCAATTTCTCGGTCTTTCGCGGAAAACGCGATGATCGCATCCTAATTGTGCGGAGTTATCGACTGAGAGATTAATTCTTCGGTTGTACCCCGTAGCTATTGAGCCATCCATATCCCGCCCGTTTCAACATAAGCAACTCGGCTTTCATCCTCGTTCGACTTTCAGCCGCAAGGCACTTCTTAAGCTATTTGGCCCAAATACTTTCTCGGAAAAAATGGCTGCGCGTCATGCAAGGAAGCTGAAGATTGATTACAGCGCCATGTCATCTGAATCATCATGTCGGGCGCATGACAAGGCCAACCTTTCAATCATTTTCGAACATCCTGTCTCCTTCACATTTTTTAATTCTACATTATTCCATAATGCCACACCAACCAACATATAGTAAGTTTTTAAAAAAAAATCCAATAAATAATATATTAAAAACAAACACCTACACTGTAAATAAAAATATATAAAATTTATACTTAAAATTGATGATGGAACATCGATCCGACAGACCAGTGAGAGAGTCGGGGAATCCGGGGAGAGATGACCCCTCGTGCGAGAGCCGGGAGCCGAGGCCCTCCATCTCCGAGAAGGAGGAGAAGGGCGGGAGCTCCTTGCTGGGGTCGGGCGGGCCCAGGTGGGTGGTGGAGGACGGGTCGGTGGAGTCGCCCGCTCCACCGCCCGGCTTCCCGTCGCTCATCCCCGCGCTCGGAGCGACTGAGCCTTCATCTGTCGATAAAGAAATCAATTTTGTGCTTTAATTAAAGGTGGACGGGGCAGAGATGCTTTTTATTTTCCTGCAGTTTCTGCCTGCCAAATTGTTCATGGACCTGGCAAAAATTGCGCTCGCTCTTCAAGTAATCAAGGAAACGCAAGTAATCAAGGAAACGGTCAAAACGAGGTAAATCTTTTCATATTTATTTCACATTTCAAATGAGTAAAAAAAAAATTGCCCACGGAAACACGCCATTAAGCTGCTTGGGTCGAAATCTTCATCCAACCGAGATGCTTCAGATTTTTTTTTTTACAACGGCTTTGGGCATTGAAAGGCTTCCTTTTGTCCGCAGATCAGCCCCCCTTGGCCCCAATTGCGAACGGCGACCTACCGGATTGCGACGGAATACGGGGCAGTTATATAATCTCGCAAGACACCTTTATCTCCGTTTTCGCGATGCAAGCACGCACTTGCCGCATT